CGGTGAGTGCGATAAATCTGAAAATGTGACGAGTATTAAAATTACAATATGTAAGATATCGGCGAGTTAGAGAAAAAAAGATCTCCAAATCTTCGAAATTTTCAAAAAGGTACCATTTTCATTTCATTCGAACTCTTAGATTCTGAAATCTTCAAACTGAAGCACAATTTTCGAGCAGCGAATATTAACCGGTTCTGATGATCCAGACTTTTTGATAATTTCAACACAGTTTCAAATTAGAAATAATCTTTCATTAGTCTAAAAATAATTTCTGCAGCTTTAAATACTGATCGTAAATGATATACATCATATAATTCATATATCTATATGTACTAATTTAATAATTTTGAAGTATTTAGTAAACTTGACTACGGGAGCCAATATGGTTTTCCCGAAGGGTTCAGTTTCATATAAATAAGAAAAAAACATATTGCTTTTGTTTATATGTAACATTCATATTCCATCATATTTCCATATTGCTAATTTAATAATTTTGAAATAACTTCTGGTGAACTTGGCTATGGCAGTCGACATGGCTTTCTCTGAACGATTGAATTTTAAATAATTAATTAGCAACAGAAAATATTTACACTACAACTAACAAATGAATTTTACTCACTTCAGTATCCGATCGTGTTGGCTGACGATTGTGGCCATTCTTCCTTCCACGGTGTTGTTCATGTCGGACCGACCGTCAACCAAGTATCCCAGCCAGTTGATCAAGACTTGCATCTGGCCGCAAGCGTGCACGGCGAACACGGCGGCGATGCTGCAAGCTGCTGACGTGACAGCGTGCATCACCATGCCCGTCAAGACTTGGATGGAATGGATGATTTCGTTACTGGGGCTGTGATACACGTCGGTGATCAATCTCGAGGCGGGGAACGGTAACGGTGTGTAACTAAAATTGCCACCCTCGGCGACAACTTTGCCCACGCTGACAGGCACGGCGATGTAGTAGAAGGCAAAGGCGCTGTACACGAAGAAAGTGCAGACAGCGACTATCTTCCTTCCGTAAGCCGCGTGCACTGTCATGATGTTTCTGTCTTCTTGGTGCTCGATGTTCTTCCAGTCCCATTCGATGCGTTCGATGCCCTCGCGGATGTCGTCCTTGTGAAGTATCAGTAGGTAATATTTCGTGAACGTCATCATGAAGAAGCTCAATGGCCCGATCATTCTGATTTGATTGTACACTTGCTCTACTTCTACGATCAGGAACAGGCTGCAAGATACGAACATGAAGACGATCAGAGCGAAGCAAACAATGTTAATCAGCCGGGAGAAGTATTTCCGTATTATCGTTTCACGCGAACTCGGCCAAGCACCGATCGGTATTAGCAACCAACGATTCCACTGAACGCTCAGATTCACATTTCTCTCGTAATCAAGCTTGGTCATGACCAGACTCCTGTCTTCACATCGTTGATCCTCAAGGGCTCGCTCGCTACTAAATGCTCTTGCTTCGATGACGATTCAAATGGAAAATGATATTGCGCGTGCGCTCGCAATAGAAAGAAGGGTGAAAGAAAGTGCATGTAATATTTTTCAGAGGGTCCGTCCCCTTCTGAGTTGCTACTTATATCTACGTATGCATTATGAGTTGGACATGGGGTTGATGACAGCCACGGTCATCGATAAATTGATTTTTTTCTCCAGCGTCAGTAGTGCACGAAGGTGTTCAGCAACAGGTCTCAGGTTGTAAAGAATTAACTTCTATTCGGCAGGACTTCTTCGGGTACAGCGTATTTCTCCACATTTCATGATTCTTCATGATTCTTCTTCAGGTGCACGTACTTTCTACAACTGTCAGAATGATGTTATTAAAAATGTTTATAGACAAGAGGATATTGTCGAGTGTCAAAGTGAGCGAAGATTAATTCTTTACAAACTTGTGTGGGAAAAGAGGAGACGATACATGCGATTTTCTGCGCACAGTTGTTTTATTTGGCGACCGCAAGAAGCAGGTATAAAATATAAATAAATTTTATTGCAAGCTATTATACGGATAATATTTAAACTTTATTCTACTTTAAAGGACGTTTATATCAACGTTCCTAAGACATATAAAAATTCGACCGTTGTTTGAACAATCTATTCGACAAATATTTAAGTAACAACAATATTTAACAAATATCAAGTGATTTGTGAAAACCGATCGAATAATTTTACATCTATATCGGTAAAGATAGTTTAACTATGTTTTCAGCTGTCAATTTAATCGACGGATTAGCTATTGCGATTATTAATACCAGAGTTTTGTAACCAGAAATTTTGAAATGAATTTTTCCAAAGGCAATTGAATGCGTGATTATGCTTATCATGTTCTCGTATGTATTATGGAGGGACGTGAACAGAGTGTAGTTTTTAAAGATGAAGTCACAGAGAGAGTTGGAGAATATTTTTTCTTTTCAATTGTTGTAGTAAATGACTTTTTGAATGTTCGAAGGGATGCTTGGATCAAATATGGAATGGAAAATATATTGTAGATGAAAAAGGAAACATACGTGATTGAGTACCGAGAGGATTTATTTTTATTGGAAAACAAGGATAATATCGTTCTAATATAATTTTTAAAAGCACATATACCAATATAACTTTTAATTGCATTATTTTATGGATACATCATAAGTATTATAAGATCTTTAAAGTCATCATCTGAGCAAATTATTAATAATATAAATTAAATTAAAATATATATCAAATTCATTTTTTCTTTAAATTTTTCATTTTTTACTTTACATCGGTATATATAGCTAGTGATATTTCAATTATTTCATCAGTAATCTAATTTAATCAAGTTTCTATCCTACAAATTTTGTAGGGAAAGTGTGCGAATATGCACGAAAACCAAATAAAATACTTGCATTTGATTTTTGCATGTTTGTCTATATATCATATTCCATTTTTATTTGCAGGAAAATTCCACTTACCTGTTCATCCTCGTCTGATATTTAATAATATTTATAATATATATTCTTTGATCAGGCACATTCTTATATCTTATATCTTTCTTATCCATTAGTCTGTTTATCTCGTTCGTCTAGATTCTCAACTACATGAAGAAATCAACAGAAAAGAAATATCATAGAAACAATTAAATAAATAATAAATATTATTAATAATGAATAAAAACAATATTTTATTAGTTGGAGATTTTTGTTCGTCGAAAATTAGAAAATTACTCGCAGAGGGTAATTGTCGTAATGTTGTCGAGTGACCACCGTCGTACATAGTGATTACCATTATTCTCCTCAGGATCTTCACTTTCCAGTGAAATCGGTTCTCCTCCGTAGCACTTGTCAAATCCTATTGATCGTATCTATACTTATTTTTTGGATTTTGTTCATTTGCCGTAAAAGAATCGTATATTTGCAAAACTGTATGATGCACTTAATAATCGGTTGCACAATGCGCAATATAATTGCTAACACTGTTTCCTTTCAGGAACATGTGCGTAAGAGGTGGTACCATTATCAAGAGCAACAGGAAGTACGACGAAACGTACTGTCTTATTCTGAGAAAAATTCTCGAGAGGAAAGTAGAAACAGGCTACGCACCCATTGGATCTACAAATGGTTTCACATATTTCGTGGCGTACTTCAAATCCTCCTCCATTTTCGTTCGTTCTGATATATTTTCCATGGTTGAACGCGAGTGACTACGTAAGTGTAAACAATTGCAAGTCATACTTGCATGTATGACCACCGATTGTCACGCGAATGCTGCTATCGAAATGATTTTATCGCACCGAGTGACGAAATATGTAAATTGATTGAAATTACTCAATTGAATATTTCACGAACAACTTTCCCTGAAGTGAAGCGATGGAGAAGCTTTGTTGTAAGAAGTATTTGAGGGAGTTCCTGAAAGAAGAACTCTGATATTTATATGTGAGTGAAATTGTTGTTTCATTATGAAATTCTTGTTTATTTTATAGGCATGAAAAAGAGTGTGTGTTTTTTCAAAACACATTACAACTATTAGAGTTTCATGCAAATATTTGTTATTTCATTCATTTATTGTTATATTACAATCTGTTGCAGGTCTATTCTCAAGTCTCAAGTTTCAGTTTTCTCAAAAGTCTTGAATTTTTGATTGAAATGTTTACTTAAAAGATTTTCTGCGTTTGTGCTTTATAATCTGATGGTAGATTGTTGACGATGCTTGCAATTTTAAACAGGTTTGTCTGTAAAGTTTGGAGTAGAGTGTGGAGGTAAGTAGAATGTATGAACGAGTTCTGCTTCGTTGCGTTTCCATGTTTAAAAATTCACGCTGGTCGGAGAGAGGGAAACACGACAACGGTTTTCAAACCACAATGAATTAATAAATTCGTTATAAATTATAAATTATAAATTATAAATTCAATCGACCATGTCGCAGACATATGTGAAAACATGCTGATATGGAGAAGGATAAATTTTTATATCTAATTGAAATTAATCGATGTTAATTAAATTTCTTAATGTTCAGTACTTCGAAACAAATGATCAATTCTCTACCAAAAAGATGTTGATTAATTATTCTTCCGGCAGATAATAAATATCTAATTTTGACACAATTGAACAACAACATATCTTCAACAATTTCATAAAATAATATCAATAAATGACACACAAATATATAATCATTGAATAATTACTTACTTCCATGTTCGCAGATGATGCTCAACCGATAAATCAGGTTTCCTCCAACCTTCTGTCTTCCTTTTTGTGTCATTTCTTCCTTCGTATCCACCAATCTGGTCATCGTTACATCCAATTGAGCGTGCATCGCCAGGAAAGCAGTCAACCCACAAGTATTCACCATAACAATATCCAGAAAGGAACTGCAGGGTGAACACGATCTCGTTCACCGAACTGAATTCAAGGTTCGTGTAAAATGGGCATAACAACTGATACATAATCGTCATTGCTCACACGGAATACTATTCCTTTAAAGCCTGCAATCAAATTGTAGAACGGAATGCCGCTGTGCAAACACAGTGCAGCCATGCATGCTTTTCAAGTTCTTCGCGTATTAGCTCGCATTATTCTCGTCAATAGACAATAGTAATCCAATCCACGCATCAGCCAGTGATTTATTAGACTAACGGCCTTCATCCTTGTCGTCATGCTTTCATCCTCACATAGAATGCACATGCAACATGCAAGGTGCGACCGTGAAACCGATCAACGAGTGACAGCTTCCGTGAATAATTTCTGCATGTCTTGGTAAGTTCTAGCTTTTGGTTGCAAGAACCAACGATTGGTATATTCGTAACTCGCTAGTCAACCATGATCGCGGGATTCACTTGTAGCGAACTATTTTTTTATCGACTATGGATCGTCATACGATAATATTATATTACATTTATTTGCTTTCTTTTTTATCTGTTTCGTACGTACGTAAAGTTAATGAAAAAGAGTGGAAATTTGTAACATGGTGGATTATGTGATTGCTGAAAAGAATAGAGTTTAGTTCAGAGAGAGAGAGAGAGTGATTGCTTGGCAAGTGTTATTTTGGTCACTGGATGTGCGAGATTCCTTTGAAATTATTGTTATCAACTCTTTTAGGATCGGATTTTTTTTT